TTATATTATTGGTAAACAAGCCAACACTGTAAAGTTTTGCTGTGAATAATTTAGAATAATGAAAATAATTCTCTCTTTGTTATGTTTTGAGAGAGATTCTCACGTGGCCCAGGTTGGCCTTGAACTGGCCATGTGCGTGATGATGACCTTGATCGCCTGTGACAACTCACCCACTTTATCACTTTTTAAAAATTATCTTATGTGTACACATTCCTTACCTGGACAGGTGTATCACACACATATTTGGTTCTTGAAGAGCCAGAACAGGGCACTGGTCCTCTAGAACCAGAATTACAGATGGTTGGGCACCAACGTGTGGGTTATGGGAACTGGACCCTGGTCCTCTGTAAAAGCAGCAGTTGCTCTAAGCTGCTGAGTCGTCTCTCCAGATCCTTTATCTTTGGTTTTTGCTTGTGTATGTGTTTGTTTGTTTGTTTTGTTTGTTTACTTTTTGAGACAGGGTTTCTCTATAGTTTTAGAACCTATCCTGGAACTCGCTTTGTAGACCAGGCTGACCTCGAACTCACAGAGATCCACCTGCTTCTGCCTTCCAAGTGCTGGAATTAAAGGTGTGTGTCATCACTGCCTGGCTATCTTTGTTTTAAGATGGGAGTTTTCCCCTAATAAATTAAGTGTTTCCCATTTAATAGTTATATTAATAAAGATTTTTTTGTCAAGTACACTTGTCAGACATTGTAATCCTGTTAAAGACTAGAGGGACAGCAGTTCCTCATTCGTGCATTTGTTACTCAGTTAACTGCGGCCCTGGAATAGGCTGGTTGTGCTGTGTCAGCTAACAAAATTCAAGTATGTGAAGTGATTTTTTTCCTCCTCTTCTCCTCCTCGTTGATATCTGAATTGGACACAGTGGTGCATGCCTATATCCTCAATACTCAGCAGGCTCAGGCCAGCTGGATAATAGTACAAGCACACCTCAAAAAAAAAAAAATTGAAATGGTTCTTAATGCCGAGAGATCCTTTTACCCATGGAGAAAACCTTACGGTAGCCAATTCCCCACGTGCTTCTCTTCTGCCCTCAAGACCGTTGTGGGTCAGACAACCACTTGAAAATGCCCTATCTCCTTTTGCTCCCCTGAGGATAGTTTGTGAATCATTTGAGGGGGCCAGGCAGGATGGAAAACAGACAGCTGTTAGGTAAAATCTTGCACCCTATTGACTTTGGCCTCAAAAGTTCACATGTTGCCTACAGCTTTGGGGTGACCAATCTGTACCGTTAGCTCTCTCCGTTCCCTTCTAGCTACTGTGAGTGGGTTTTAAGGCTGCAGGTATTAAAGAAATAACAAGTTTGGGGACATTTGGTTCTTTATGACCAAACACTAAGCTTGAGCCATGCTGCTTTCTCTGTGGGCTTATTGAGGTAGAAACCTCAGGACCACATCTCCCTGATGTGTGAGCTCAGAAACCCAGGTGCAGATCCCCAGATCTGCCTAGGAGTTACACTACTTCTGAGTCCACAGTTTCTTTCCAGACAAGCTCAGGAACTTCTTGTTTGGGGGAAGGGAGTAGAAACGAGATCTTTCCTGTGCTTATAAGAACACCTCTGAGTGACAAGATTGGCTGCCAATATTTGTGTCAGATTATATTGTTTTAAACAATTATTATCATTACTAATATCCTATGCATGTGTGAATGCAGGGCTGCCATGGAGGTCAGAGGGTAGTTTTGGGGAATCATTTCTCACCTTCCACCCTGAGGCAGGGGCTCCCTCATTTCTACTGCTGTTCTGCAAACTCCAGTCCAGATGGCCTGAGACCTTCTGTGTCTGCTTCTCACCTCACCATTGCAGAGCTGGGATTACAGATGCATGCCACTATTCCTGGCTTCTATGTGGATACCAGGGATGGCACTCAGATCACCAGGCTTGGTAGCAAAGCACTTTACCCGCTGAGACATCTTGCTGGCCCCAGATTGTATTCTTTCTCATCTAGAGTGGTCCATTTCCATTGCCGTCTATCACCACGCCAAATGCCTGTGAAGGCAGTGATGGCTGGACTGACTTGAGGTTAGTGACAGGAGTGGCTTCAGCCATTGGAATCTGTGTGGATGGGCCATAATACATCAGTGTTACAATGTGACATGTAGCTTTAAGCAGCTCCACTTGTTTCCACTAACATTTGTTTCAAGAATTGTCCAGGTCCTAGATAGGTGTCCCTTCAGTCAGCTCACCTTCAGCACACGATCACACTTGTGGCTGCAGCCTCAAGTCATTGACATTGGTTTTTGTCCTGCAGTAAAAGTGATGAATAGTTTGTGACTTATTTCTTTTTCTTTCACTTATTTACTTAGGTGCTGCAACTCATAAGATCCAGTAATTCTCGGCAAAAGTTCCGACTTTTGCAGGCATTGTCTCTGCCATGAGACTTACCGGTCCATGAAACAAGTATCTTCAGATTGCCTACTTTTTCCTGAGCCAGGGAAGGAAATGCTTTCGCTGTCTGAACTGAGTGTACGGTCATGAGTAGCAAATATGGAATACTGAATGTCTGTGTACATATGAGCCAGAGAGTGAGGTCTCTACATTCGGTTTCTAAATTTTTATCCTGACATCTATATATGCATAAAACCATAAAATATAAACTGAAAACTGATGTGGTTTTCCTCTGTATGCTGTGATTATCATTGGTTAATAAAGGAACTTCTTTGGGCCTATAACAGAGCTATAGGGGAACAGAGCTAGGCGGGGAAAACTAAACTAACTGCTGGGAGAAAGGAGGCAGAGAGGAGAAGCCACGGAGCTGCTGCTGGAGACAGACATGCTGAAACTTTTCTGGTAGGATTAATAGAAATGGATTAAATTAAGATGTAAGAGTTAGCAAATAAGAAGCTAGAGCTAATGGGCCAAGCAGTATTTTAAATAATATAGTTTCTGTGTGATCACTTTGGGGCTGAGCAGCTGGGAACCAATAAGCGGCCTCCGTCCTTACAGCAGAAAACTCCAAGACCTGTTTCTTTAAGGCAGATGGCGAATATAAGAAATTAAAAATGTGGGGAATCAACACAGTGGGTTCTCGGGCAGTGCCTTGAGAGCACCATGGAAGTTTGTGAGAGGTGGCAGAGGACAGCAGGGGTGGACAGGACGGTGTGGGCAGGCATTTAACACTCAGGACAGGCTGAGTTAAATCACAGAGGTAATGTGAGATCATGGGCCTGGGGTGCATAGGACACCGACTGTCAATCTGACAGGATTTAAAACCATTTCTGGGCTTGTGGGTGGGAGTGTTCCTAGATTAGGCTAACTGAATGTAGGTGGTGGCATTCCCTGGCTCCTCCAGGCTGCCTGACTATGGGCTGGTGCGACCAGCTGTCCTCACTTGCTCTTCCCTGATGTGATGAACTGTGTCCCTAAACAATGGGCCCAAACTAACCTTTCCTTTCTTCAGTTGCCTTTGTTAGCCATTTTGTCATAAGACATGATATGTACCTACTACAGGCCTGGGAGTGGAAGTGAGGATGAGAAAAGTCAGCCAGGACCCAGGCACGATCCCTGGTAACAAGTGTGAATGGCCAAGTTCTCAGACTGGCTGAGGCCTTATAGGAAATGTATTTCTACTCTGTTATTTTAAAGACAAGCTACGCGATATTTTCACATATACTGCTCATGCACTAACCACACCTGGATGGTGGATTCCTTTCCCCAATGGCTGGTGCATACTAGCTAGCTTCGTGTGCCTGCTGAACAGTCCTCGAATATTCAAAGACAGGGCATATCTTACCAGACCTCCTTGGCATTTTAGTTTATGATTACACAATAACCGCACACAATATGAAAGTAGTTGATGCCGAGAAACCATACTCTGCCGATGGTAAATGGAAAATTTGTGTCATGTTGTCCAAGGAGAAAAACCCGGCACCACACAAGTAATCACATGAAGAATCAGAAAGTACGATGCCAGCAGAACCATGGCTGCGATCCTTTTTAGCGTCTCTCTTGAAGATGTTCTGTGGTCCGTCTGGTCCTGTAGGTGAGGCTGCGAGGGTCAGGAGGAAGTGTCCCTCGTCCCTCACCGCCTTGTGCAGGTAGGTGAGCTGGAGCTTTCTCAGTGCGGACTCTGCAGCTCTGTGAGGCCTGAGCAAGTGCTGCTTCCCTACATCTCGGGGCGGGGGCGCAGGGAGTGTAGTTTCGAGGTACCAGACGAGAACCTCCGCCCTCCTACTAGGCTGTGCCAGGCTTCTGCCTGCATCGCTGTCAGGGTAGGTGGGACAGCCCCGAGAAGCCATCCGTGCCCGGGTAGTGTATGTACCCTCTCGTGTCGCCGTCCCGCACCTGCCCCGCGCCCCGGGTCTGCGGGAGTCGCCGGGGCCCATGCACATGCGCAGTGGCACCGCCGGGAGCCCTGCCTCCGCCTCCGCCGCCGCCTCCCGGTTCCGCAGTCACTTCCTGCAGCTGTTTCCCTGTGGCTCCAATCCGACCGACTTTTGACAGTCAACCTCCAGCAGCGGAGCGGCCGGGCGGCGGCGGCGAGCGCACCAAGTGGTCTTGGAGCT